CCCCACCAAAACGAATACCAGCTCCCATGCCCACTAAAAACGCGTGGGGTCTACCCATTCAGGAAGAGGGGGCACACGGCCCTTCACCATCGGCCATGGTGAAGGATGAGAAGACAGTACAGGACAAAAAGAAAGATGGAGGACACAAGAATCATGTTCAAAGCAGTCGGCCTCCCATTTCATCCAGCAAGCACACTGGGGCCAATAGAAGTAGCAATTCCAGTGCCAAAGTTACCACCGAGAAGGGTCTGAAAGCCACCAGGCCCTCAACCTGCACAACATTAAATAGTGCTCCCACTGAACTGAACGCTCTCTGGCCAATGCTCAAAACTTTGGTCACTGAGTTGATCGAAAGTCTGCTGTCTTCACATGGAATCAATCAAACCACAGAGACTCGGAAGACAATTGAGCACAAGCTCAAAAAATTCGAAGATGTAATATCCACACCGTCAAGACAGCAGGGCAGGAGACACCCCAATAAAAAGCAGATAGAGTCCAGCTCGTCGGAAAGCGACATTGATGAGGCAATTTCAGGTCCACTAAGAACCTATACACCAATTGCAACTTCCATGGCGTGTTCATCAGACTCCATGGATACCACGGAATTATCAGCAAATTCCAAGAACCTAGAATTCTAAAGATCCTGCAATGGAATGCGCAAGGACTGCGCACTAAATTGCAACACTTGCAATGCATAGCAGCAACCAAGGGCATAGACATCCTGATACTACAGGAGAGCTTGCTTCGAGCCGGATTAGAACCTAAAATCTCAGGCTATCGAGGCTTCTTCCTTCCATGGATCAATGGGCAATCCAGGGGATGTGCAATCTATGTAAAATGTGACCTGATCTCCAAATCCATAACCAGCCCACCCAATTGTGGAGCAGGGACAGAGGTAATGGGAGTCACCATTGAGCTAAGACACGACAAACTTGAAGTGTTCAATGTGTACAGGTCTCCACAAGCCGAAATGGATCTCTCTGTGTTATTTGGACACGCGACAACAACAAACACAATCATTTGTGGAGATTTTAATACCCATCATCGATTGGCACTGGGCTCGAACAAAACAAATGAAGCCGGCATACACATTACACATCTACTGGACCAGCTTCCAGAAATACAAATCCTAAACAAGAATGAACCTACCCACATCCAAGGAGGCAGATTAGACCTAACCTTCGTTTCAGCCTCCCTAAGAGATGCAGCAACATGGTCAGTTGAGCCCACACTCACAAGCGACCACTATGGGGTCCAAATTGATCTTCAGTTAGACCTACCCACCCCACCTCCGCCTCCATCTGAAGCCTGGAACTTTGCTTTAGCAAACTGGGACCGATTTCAAAACCTCATTTCAGAGTGGCAAAGAAACTATGATCTTCCCGAAGACATTAATCAGGCAGAACAAGAATTTGTCAAAGCGATTCAAAGTGCAGCCAACCACTCAATCCCACTGAAAAAACAGTCCACCGGACACCATAAAGATCATTGGTACTATTGCGAACGTGTCAAAGAACTCAACCATAGACTCAATAGAACAAGAAAGCTATACAAAAAGCAGCCAAGTGACCGCAACAGGATCTTACTTTGTGAGGTCAAGGAACATGTACATCGAGAGACCAGACAAATAAAAGAACAAAAGTGGCTGGAATGGTGTTCACACCTGAATGAACACACCCCTCTCTGGGAGATGTGGCAGCAAATTCACCGGGCCAAAGGGAATAAAACACCTAAAGCTCCACACCCCAAGGATCCTCAACAGGAAGCCGAAGTACTGGCAACCAGGTTTGCAGAGAGAGCAGCCAGCAATCAACTTCCACCAGATGTATTAGCAGTACAGACCGGACTAGAGGAAGAAAGGTGGCACAGAATCCTTACAGTATGTGAAGAAGTCTGACACTAATGCCCCCTTCACACTGGATGAGCTCAATCGGGCTAAGAAAAACTCCAAGGATACATCCCCTGGAGCCGACAAAATAACCTATAAAACGATTAGAAACCTCGGCCCAGAGGGAGACGCTGCATACCTAAGGTTAATTAATTTAGCCTGGACTTCTCAAACTAGACCTTCTGCTTGGAATAGAGCAGACATAGTGCCGATCCCAAAACCCAAAGATCCAGCTAATCCCAGGCCCATCTCTCTCCAAAGCTGTGCAGCCAAGACGGCTGACAGAATGGCACTCAACAGACTGGAGTGGAAAATGCCTAAACTGCACCATGATATGTATGCCTATAGAAGAGGGGTTGGCACAGTGGAATGTATTACAACTCTGTTAGCCCACTTGAATGACAGACCAGGAATGCTGATATTCCTGGACCTCGAAAAAGCCTTTGAACTGGCTAGCGCCCCAGCTATTCTCTGCTGCCTCATTGACAAAGAGGTCAGAGGCAACCTGCTCTCCTGGACCAAAAACTGTCTCATAAACAGAGAAGCAAGAGTAAAACTTCATGGCACAGTCTCTGAGTACAAAAGACATGAAAATGGTACACCGCAAGGAGGTATTCTCAGCCCTCTTCTCTTCAACTGTTTAATGGAAAGAATAATGAGGTTGAAACTCCCACATCACTGCAGGCTGCTAAACTACGCGGACGACTTTGTCATCATCATAAAAGGAAGGGATGTGGCGCGCCTTGCACCCAAATGCTTAGACTGCATCAGTAAAGAGGCAAAACAGATTGGGATCAAACTCAACCCCTCAAAGTCAAAGGCCATGCCCATAAAAATAGCGAAGCCCAACATCCAACTCACAGTACAGGGTCAACCAATAGAATGGGTCGACACCTATCAGTATCTAGGAATCATCCTGGACACACACATGAATTTTAATGCTGAGGTCACATACTTGAGAGAGCGAACTGCGGCCCGGACGGCAATCCTCAGGTCGCTAACCTCCCTTTCTGGAGGAGCCAATCTGCAAGTCCTTCGCACATACTATGTACAGGCAGTCACATCAGTGATCGATTATGCCGCACCTGCACTCACAAATCTATCACACCAACAGTGGAAAAAGCTTGAAGTTGCCCAAAACAATGCTATGAGAGCTGCACTGGGAGCCCCCATGTGGACCAGGCTTGAAACTCTTAGACTGGCGACGGGTTTGCCCTCTCTACAAGAAAGAATATCACAAAGGACAGCTACAATTATCAGTAAGATAATTATTTCTTCTGATCCAATCCCAGTACAGCAGGCCTTGGTGGTTGGACTAGGCCAAAACAATGGAAACTCTTGGGTTGCAAGAGCAGGAAAAGTCCTAAACAGACTACATTTAAAAAACATGATTCTTGATAGAGAGGGTGATCATCCACACCCAAATTACACTCCTTCCGCGCCGTGGGAAGAGCCTACTTTCAAAATAGTAATAGAAAGTCTCCCAATGAAAAAGGCTGCCTATGATCCGACAATCCTAAGGCGCATAATAGAAGAGTAAATGTATAGCATAGCAGTAGCAGGAGCCACCCACATCTTCACAGACGGATCGGTGGACACAGAAAATGAGAGTGCTGGCGCTGCTCTTTGCACGACCAGCGTACAGGCATATTGGAGACTGGGAGGACTAGTATCATCAACCCAAACTGAGCTCTTTGCCATACAACAGGCATTCGCATATGTGATTGCACAAAACACTCAAAATGCAATCATACACACAGACTCAAAAGCTGCACTTCAAATACAAGGACAAAAACATTGGAAAGATAATGTGGAAATAATTACCACCATTTTGTATCAAGGAGCAGTCGCTAAAGGCAAAGGACTCAACATAACTTTAAACTGGATCCCATCCCATATTGGAATCCCATTAAATGAAAAAGCTGATGAAATTGCTAAATTGGCAACTCGTCATCCAGTGATACATAAAACAATTCAACCCAGCCTAGAGAACATAAAAAACATCATCACCAAAAAACTCTCACATCTCAACAAAGCCTACCTACACCAGAGAATAGCTGAAGGTTCGCCATCTGCAACATGGTATCTTCAGGCAACCAAATTAGAAAGGTTAAATATCCCAAAAGGAATCCACAGGGAAATAGCAGTTAGGTTATATAGACTACGTCTAGGTTACAGATGCAACTGGGAGATTGGTGAACCCCAACAGAGAGAGTGCATCTTCTGCCAAACTGTCACAGAAAAGCCATTACTTCACTATCTTCTGGAATGTGAAGCAACCAATGACCTTAGAAGAGCTTTAAGAGTTCCTGAATCATGCAGTAGCCACCCTGAAGCCATCAACACAGCCACTCTCCTGGTCAACAAAGGTGTCCAGCAGCTGGACACCCTCATAAAGACTGTGAAGCAGTATCCTCCCCCGCGATAACAGCTTGATGGTTAAAAGCAACCTCAGAATACTGAGAAAAAAAAATTGTACCACTTACGGGCTATTCATGCCCGTGCCACCTCTTGGGTGGCTTAATCTTTATCAATCAATCAATCTAGACAGGAAGTCGACCAAGTCAGTTTCAAGCGATGATCGATAAATAAGTTTAACTAGACAATCAGTTCTATATATTGAAACACTAATATGAAGTGGTTGCAAAACATTCATACAATGCAATAGTGTATGGAGCAAGCCTTCTTATGTCACATTGCTGCAACATGGCGAGCGCTCCGGGAAAGCTACGCTGTAAGGGCCTCTAAGGGCCTCCTTATTTGCGAGCTAATGAAAATAGTTAAATTTAGTAATACTAAATCATTCAATAATAAATACTAAACATTTTATTCATTCAAACGCCTCTAAAAAAAATAGAATCTAAAATTTTGTTTCATCCTACGAGGCAGGGATCCAGCTGCTGGAGTAGCGGGAGGGGGCTAAAGGGTTCTCTCCTGCACCTCTCTCTCTCTCTCTCTGTCTCTCTCTCTCTGTCTCTCTTTCTCTCTCTCTGGCATGTCTGACCGATTATTATTTTTTTACATTTCGTGTGATGATGTGGTTTTAGTTTTGTGTTTGCTTCCCACCTAGCGCGCTGACCCACCCCCAAGACTGATGCCCTCCCTCCTACAGCCCGTGGCGAGCGTGGCGGAGTCGACCTACAGCCGCGTCAAGAGAAAGTGCCCGGCGGTCCCTGACGGAGGTGAGAGTCCGCAGCGCGGCCCACACTGCGCCCTTCACCACCGCCACCACCCAAACTAACACGCCTAGTCACGCCAAAACACGCCCACACACACAAAACACACATACGTCAATCATATTTAGATCCTGTCACTATAGAGTGGCGTCCCCACCAGCCCTGGCCACGCACCGCCGTGGTGTAACCCTTGTCACGTCAATACAGCCCAGTGTGGTGACCGGCCTCCGAGGCCCTCCCTGGCTGCCCACCACTGCTCACTTACTTACTGTATGACATACTTTGTTGATTAAATTATATTTTTCTATTAAAAATAAGAAAAATGCATATGTACATAAGCATCATATGAAGAATAAATTTAAACTTGATATATAACTTTATTATCAAACAATAGAAATTAAGTACTCCCCCCCCCCTTCCCCCTCAAGTGTCAAACTGTAACCCAGTGTGTGGAATTCTGGAGGTTATGATGTGTGGGGATGGGAGGCATGAGCCCACACCACCCCCCACTCTCCACCACCCCTCCCTTCACCTCCACCACCCCTCCCCTTCCTTCACCTCCACCACCACCCCTCCCCTCCCTTCACCTCCACCACCCCTCCCTTCACCTCCACCACCCCTCCCTTCACCTCCACCACCACCCCTCCCCTTCCTTCACCTCCACCACCACCCCTCCCCTCCCTTCACCTCCACCACCCCTCCCTTCACCTCCACCACCCCTCCCCTACACCACCACCACCTCTCCCCTACACCACCACCACCCCTGCCTTCACCACCACCACCGGCCCTCCCTTCACCTCCACCACCCCTCCCCTACACCACCACCCCTCCCCTACACCACCACCTCTCCCCTACACCACCACCACCCCTCCCCTACACCACCACCACCCCTCCCCTACACCACCACCACCCCTCCCCTACACCACCACCACACCATCACCACCACCATATACAGCTACCGTACCAAGCATGACTAGTCAACTCAGGACATAAGTTCTAGTATTATTTAGAGCAGCACGCCCTTAGAAGGTAGGACAGTACTGGGATCATGAGGACCCCGATACCACCTCCTCCTTCCCTCATTTATCCCCCTCTACCTCTTCACAGTTGGTAATGAGGCTCAGCGTTCCTCCCCTCCCTCACATTCACTCCCCCACCTAAATTATAACCCCCCAGCACGCAGTTCCCCGCCCCACTCCACCTTCTGCACAGAGGGCGTCTTGATGACCCCTGTATCAGCTTGTCGTGCGTCCTCCCATTTCCAACCAAGACCCACAACCACATCGCCGCTACGACCATAACCTTCACCACCACCTAGACTTTGCACCCGCTTATTAAGCAACTGTCTACTCTCATCTACAACTTGCATGCCGACTTTTGAAGGCCTTCGAGAAGAAACTCCGGATTTGGCCAGCATACTGAAGTGGGCGCCTTTTGCAGGCCTGTCTACGCCCTCTCGCATTGCTCCAACTGATCACGCTTACGAAAAGGGCAGCAAGGCCGTCAAGGGCAAGGGCGTCTCCAGGTGCCCTTCCGTCAGCGAGAAAGGTATGTGTCGCGCCAAACGTTCCCTTCTATACTATCTACGCATATGCTCTCATAGGCTTGTAAATTGTGGAACAAATTACCGGGAAATTAGGGTTCATTAGTGTGTGACAGAGAGACAGACAAATACATAGCGAAAGAGATAACTAGAGAGAAAGCGAGTGTTTTTGCATTCATGATCATACATACATGTTGTTACATGCTCCATGGTAGACACTTCGGATCAACCCTTGGAGGGGGGGGGAGGGGTGTAATCTTACTCATCCGCACTAATATGCACTTTCCTACGCCAGTCAAACCCACTCACTGTTCTGGAATGAAAAACACTTTACACGTGATTTGCCTGACAATCCGTCCTCGACTCAAATCCATTATATTCGGTCAACCCCACAGACGCATTCCTAAATTTTAACATGCTATTCACTCAAGACAGGAATTTTCTCATATATAAATTAATATTATAATATATTTGCATATTGTGCATATATAGGCATAGGTTAGGTGTTTAGGTTCTGTTGGCGATTATTTGTATTTGTAGTACGTGGGTGAAGCATTTACAGCGTTGTGGTTCGAACAAAATTCGTCAGTGAAGCACTTGTTCCGGAAGTGTTCGAACGAAATCAGTTGTGAGTCGTGTGTAAACCGTTTTTCATTCATAAACAGGGAGTTTGGCGGGTGCATGGAATCACTTTTGGATCTTTGTTTGGAGGACGGGCTGTTGTTTGGAGGACGGGCTGTTGTTTGGAGGACGGGCTGTTGTTTGGAGGACGGGCTGTTGTTTGGAGGACGGGCTGTTGTGTGGAGGACGGGCTGTTGTTTGGAGGACGGGCTGTTGTTTGGAGGACGGGCTGTTGTGTGGAGGACGGGCTGTTGTTTGGAGGACGGGCTGTTGTTTGGAGGACGGGCTGTTGTTTGGAGGACGGGCTGCATGATGACTTCGAACATTTCTCGATCAGTGCTTCGTTGTTCACATCTGATCGAACCGTCCCTATAAATGCTTCACACATGAACTACAAACATAAATAATTGTCAACAGAGCCTTAACACCTGATCTAACCTACACCTAAATATGCACAATAGGCTAATATGTAATAATAAGATTATTATTATTATTACAATTAATTTAAGAAAATTCCTTTTTAGAGTGAACAGCATGTTAAAATTGATGACAGCATCTTTAGGGTCAGCCGCTGGATGGAATGAACATTGCCTAAGGACAGCTGCACGAGACGGGCTCCATAAGTAAGGGATATTATTTTTCACCAGAATGAAAACCCCTTATCCGAATGTTCCCGGGTAATGGGTTGAATCTGTTTAAAACACTGTCCCAAACTGTTTATGTGAGATGAGGATGGGAGCTACGCTCGTGGTGTCCCATCTCCCCAGTACTTTTTTGTCGTATAACGCTTTGAAACTACTGACGGTTTTGGCCTCCACCACCTTCTCACTTAGCTTATTCCAACCGTCTACCACTCTATGTGCAAAAGAACACTTTCTACTATTTTTTCGGCACCTTTGTTTCCTTAGCTTGAATTTGTGTCCTCTTGTTCTTGACGTTGCTGGTTTCAGGAATTCCTCGTTGTCAATTTGGCCGATTCCTGTTATTATTTTGTAAGTGGTGATCATATCACCTTTTTTTTCTTCTATCTTCTAGCTTTGGTATATTTAATGCCTCGTAATTCCTGTTTTTTAGTTCCGGAAGCCATTTTGTATCATGCCTTTGCACCATTTTCAGTTTATTGATGTTTTCTTGAGATATGGGCACCATACAACGTCGTCTGCATATTCCAGTTTTGGTCTCACAAAAGTCATGAACAGTTTCTTCAGTATTTCACCCTTTATATTATTAAAAGCAAGTCTGAAGTTGGTAAGCGACCCATACACTTCTCTCACAATGTTCTTTATGTTCCTCAGGCGACAGCTTACTATCCAAAACTACCTCTAGGGCTCGTTCTTTATTAAGAGTTCTGTAATTCCTTTCCACATAATTTGTAAGTTGTGTGTGCTCTATTTTCTCCGATTCCACATTCCATAACATGGCATTTATTCACGTTGAATTCCATTTGCCACGTCGCTCCAAGAACCTATTTTATCTAGATCAATTTGAAGCGCATTACAATCATTTGCGCCTCCTATTTTCCCCAGTATCTTAGCATCGTGGGGCTTGACAGCTGAGTGGACAGCGCTTCGGATTCGTAGTCCTAAGATTCCGGGTTCGATCCCCGGTGGAGGCGGAAACAAATTGGAAACAGATAGCTGTAAATAGGTACCTGGCAGTTAGACAGCTGCTACGGGCTGCTTCCTAGGGACGTGTACCAAAAAAGGGGTCTAGTCGAGGACCGGGCCACGGGGACGCTAAGCCCCGAAATTATCTCAAAATAACCTTAAGATCATCCGCAAACATGTTCATATAACACTGTATTTCTTCTGGTAGATCGTATATGTAGACGCTAAACATTACTGGTGCAAGAAGTGAACCCTGTGGTACTCCGCTAGTAACACTCCTCCAGTCAGATACATTGTCTCTGATTAGTACCCTCATCATTGTGTGTATGTGTGTGCAACTGATAGAGCCCAGTAGGCTCATGAATCTGTACATCAGTTGGTTGGCTGTTGAGAGGCGGTTCGAAAGAGCCAAAGCTCAAACCCCGCAAGCACAACTAGGTGAGTACACACACACATACAGTTATTTTAACATCTTACTCTCTGATTATTATTTTTACAATATCTACGTATAAATACTGTACCTCCATTATCCACACTGGAAAATGTAAATTAATTCACGAGCAGTACTCGTGCGTCCCATCCCAATAGTTACTGCCCAGAAACCCACTCACACTACCAACACCAGCCCACCCACTACCCATACCAGCCCACCCACTACCCACACGAGCCCACCCACTACAACACCAGCCACCCACTACCCACACCAGCCCACCCACTACCCACATTGCCCACACTCAAACCCCGTCTGTGTGCTGCAGCTGCGAGCAAGGAGGCGAGCGGTTCCTCTGTGACGTCAGTAAGCAGCAACCACGAGGAGCTGGTTCGAGCCTACCACGCCCACGCCCACGGTCAAGACACGCCCACCACGCCCGAGTCAGGACGTAGAAACAAATGCGGTAAGTGCCCGTACCATGGACATGTTGTTGAGGTGGTCGTTCAAACGAGGTATGTTGTTGTTGTTGTTGATTTAGGGGCGACGACGATCGTGGGATCGGATGCGCCCAGGCGTACCCGTTAAGGGTGAATCGCAAAGCCAGGAAAGGCGAAATGCCAAGCCAAAACGCGAAACGAGTGACGCCAAGCACTAGAAACTAATATGCCACACGGCAAAGAAACGCACAAAGGGAGAGGCATAAGCACATAATATAACAGGGCAAACAAAAAGCCAGAGGAGCACACAGCATTTCAAAGAGCAAATATACAGGAAATCAGTGTACATACTTGTCCGGGAACCTGGCCCGCGGGAACCGTACATTGAACGCTTCCCAGAGCACCCATCGCCAAGGGTCTCGTCCATCCACCGGGGACGCCATAACATCCGGAACCAAGGCAACAAACACCTGCAGACAGGGGACCCAGATGGTAGTACTCATGAGGCGAGAAGTCGCCACTCGCCTCCACATGAAGGGAACCTGCCCACCATGAAAGTGCTCCGGTCCGTCAGACAGCAGTAACTCAGCAATCTCAGACCAGTGACCTAGCGGCATCACAGACGCCGGCAACACGTCCTCCAGGGCCCCAACGCGCACCCTCACAGGAGCGAACGGGCCCCAGGGCTCCACTACAGGGGCACCCGCGGCCCTGGGCACACCACCAGACGACAGCAGGGAACCCTGACGGCGCGCACCCTTCCGTAACGTCACCACCAGGCCACGCCCAGCACCAGATTCCACACCATCTCTGGCAGCAGAAGCCACCACCCTCCCACTGCGGAGAGTCCCCCAGCAGAGAAAGTACCGAAGGCACGTCCGAGACACAGGCACCAGCACCAGCAGGCACATGGACCTCCACCACCACGAACTGCGGAGACATCGACGAATCCGTATCTACATCATCAACACCCGAAGACCCACAGTCACTGAAGTCACTAACATCGGCCCAGGCAGAAGACGAATGCCGGGAACGTTTGGGCTCCGGCCGGATATCGTCAGGGCCGAAGGCGAACCCAGAAACACGGGCACCACGAGCCGGATGAACCGACGCCCGACACAGAACGGCAGCAGCCTCTAACACAGGGGGAACCGAGCCACACACAGCAGGAGGCTCCGCAGCCACCCCAGCACCCAGCACATCCGGGACCCGAGTCACGGACACAGGGCCAGGCGCAGCATCCGAAGACGAGGGAGAAGACGGCGACGCCACACAGGGAGCACCAGGAAGGCCCACGGGACCAGCTTGGACAGTGATAGGATCAGGCAGACCAACTGACGATACTGCAATACCCGAAGGAGGGTCGGCAACAACCGGAGGAACGTCAGGCGTCGCTGGGGGAGCTGCAGCAGCAAACGGGACGCGCACCTCCTCAACATCTTCGGAGACTGCCTCTAGTGGGAGCGGCGGGAAATCCTCTTCTCGGAACAAGTTGACAGGAGCAGCTGGGGCCTCAGAGCACCCAGCAGCCTGATGCCCCAACAGGCCACACCGGAAACAGGTATGAGGCTGCCGGGCATAATACACCCGGACGTAGTATCCCATAAGCCGGACAGAAGAAGGTATATCCGACCGCAGGCGCATTCCCAACGTGCGAATGTTCGTTCGCCTTCCAGCATACCGCCCCGAGGAGAGCGCGTTCACCTGCACGCTGACAACAGTACCAAACCCCCCGAAGTAACGCCGTAGGAGGTCTTCAGGAAACTCCAGGGGCGCCCCATGGACGCTGACATAGGTCAGGGCTCCACTACAATCCGAGATCGCCATAGAGCCGGCATCACCCGGCAACGACAATGTACGCCCCTCGTACCGACGGAGGAAGTCCCAGTACTCCTCCTCCCTCACGAACTTGAGAATGACCCGGTGGGTTGTAACAAGCTCGACACCATAGATAGCCTCCACCGGGATACGAAGCATGTCACACATAACCAGATCTATGTCCGAATATCCAGCCCGACTTGTGAACTCCAAGCCCATGGAGTTCACATGCACAACAGGGGGGAAGATGGCCTCCCATGTCAAACTTGCCACGTCAACACGCAGCCAGGCAGCAACACAAACTGGGGGGGGGGGGAGAGACGCCCACACCACCTGGCGACCAAAACGGCAAACACCCCAACTACCAGAGACCAGGCGACACGTCTGCACCTCACGGCAGCTCCAGGTGGACTCCGTTCAAACGAGGTATGGATGTGCTGAGAGGTCCCCTTGTGTTTGGGAAAACCTAACTGCTTGGTTAACACCAGGGACAGAAGCCACAGCACACACGTTCGCGTGCAAGATCTCTTATCTCGGCCATGGCTGCTTAGTTCATATTTACTAAACATGTTTTGGGCACTGAAATGCTACGACATTGTCACCCACGTACTTCAAATACAAGTAATCGCCAACAAAATCTAAACACCTAACTTTACATAAAACTTTAATATATAATGGTATTAAATTTGTTCAAGAGAAGAAACTTACCTTTAATGCACAATATTTAAAAATTTATAAATGAGTTTTGTGGGACGGCCGCCCCTTAACGAGCCTGGCCTAAGGACGGGTTGGTAAAAAATCCATCACCCCACATACAACAAATTGCCAACAGTAGTTTTAGGATGATAGCTCATTGCGTTCCATCCTAAATATTTGTCAAACTGTGTTTTAAAGTCTCCAATTGTGTATCTGCAACTCTTGTTTAATTAATAATAATAATAATAATAATAATAATAATAATTTTTATTTAGGCAAAGGTACATACATAAAGAGATTTTACAAAGTTTGTTGGCTTTATAGATAAGAGCTAGTACATACAATGCCTAAAGCCACTATTACGCAAAGCGTTTCGGGCAGGAAAAAAAAACACTACTGACTAAAGCTTAAAACTAATGGGTAAAAAGAAAAAAATGCGTTGAGTACAAATAAAAATAGAGGTAAAAGAGGGGGGAACATTGTTGAAAAAACAGCACAAATACAATTACAAATTATTACAGAAAATTACATTAAAACAGCATTGATTTGAAAAAAAAAAAAAAAAACAGACATGGGTTGACAATAGAGGGGTAAGGTAGGTTACAGGGAATTTATTAGGTATAGCTTCGTTTTTAACTTAAACTGGTTGAGAGAGGTACTGTCTTTAACATGGTTGGGAAGGTCATTCCACATTCTGGGCCCCTTGATTTGTAGAGCATTTCTGGTTTGATTAAGTCGTACTCTAGGAATATCAAAACTGTATTTATTTCTGGTGTGGTGCTCATGGGTTCTGTTACAACCTTCTATGAAGCTTTTGAGATCAGGATTGGCATTACAGTTTAGCGTTTTGTATATGTATAATACACATGAGAGAATGTGCAGTGACTTAATGTCTAACATATTCAGGGATTTGAGTAGGGGTACCGAGTGATGTCTGGGGCCAGAATTGGATATTGTCCTAATAGCAGCTTTGTGTTGAGTAATTAGAGGACGTAAGTGATTTTGGGTAGTAGAGCCCCAAGCACAAATACCATAGTTGAGATATGGATAGATAAGGGAGTAATAGAGAGTCACCAGGGCAGGGCGTGGTACATAATATCTGATCTTAGAAAGAATGCCCACAGTTTTTGAAACTTTTTTTGATATGTTTAGAATGTGTCCCTGGAAATTCAGCTTGCGGTCAATGAGAATGCCAAGGAATTTGCCATCTAATTTGTTACAAATTTGGGTATTGTTTATTTTGAGATTTATTTGATTAGAGGATTTATTGCCAAACAGAATATAGAAAGTTTTGTCAATGTTAAGGGTGAGTTTGTTGGCAGTTAGCCACAGATGGACTTTATTTAGCTCAGTATTTACTGTGGCATTTAGAGCAAGGGGATCAGGACTGGAGTAAACTTACTCCAGTCCTGATCCAGTCCAGTCCAGTAATTTATTTTAAACATCTACCACTCTGCTTGCAAGATTTTTTTTTTACAAATCTATGTAATTACCTAAATGTAATTACAGCGTGAGACCTACGTTCGTGGTGTCCGGTCTTCCCAGTACCCTGTGTCAAATAATGATTTGAAACTTCTGACGGTTTTGGCCTCCACCACCTTCTCAATTACCTGTATGCAATGTACACATCTACTTGTGCTTGCGGGGTTGAGCTTTGGCTCTTTGGTTCCCGCCTCTCAACTGTCAATCAATTGGTGTACAGATTCTTGCTCCTACTGGGCTCTATCAAATCTACATTTGACACTGCATGGAGTCTGCTTCCACCACATCACTGCCTTATGCTTTCCATTTGTTAATTACTCTGACACTGAAACAATTCTTTCAAATGTCTCTGTGGCTCATTTGGGTACAAAGTTTCCACTTGTGTTCCCTTGTTCGTGTTCCACCCGTGCTAAATAATATGTCCACCCAGTCAATTCCACTGAGAATTTTGTAGGTGGTTATCACATCTCCCCTTAATCTTCTGTCTTCCAGGGATGTGAGGTTTAGCTCCCTTAGCCTTTCATCGTAGCTCATCCCTCTTAGTTCTGGGACTAGTTTGAATCTTTTCTTACTTTGTCTTGTGTTTAATCAAATATGGACTCCAACTTTTGTAACGGCCTTTCATAGGGCACTGTGTCAAAGGCTTTCTGACAGTCCAAGAAAATGCTGTCTGCCCACCCTTTTCTTTCTTGCCTATTTTTTGTTGCTTGGTCATAGAATTCTATTAAGCCAGTGAAGCACAATTTACCATCTCTGAACCCATGCTGGTGGTGTGTTAAAAAGTTATTTCCCTCCAGATGCTCTACGAGCCTTTTCCTCACGATCTTCTCCATCGTCGTGCCTGTATACAAGTTAAAGAAACTGGCCTGTTGTTCGGTGCCTCTTGCCTGTCACCCTTTTTGTATATTGGAACTTCATAAGCTGTCTTCCAGCTTTCTGGTAGGTTTCCTGTTTCTAGTACCCTGTTATACACCATAGAGAGTGGCACACTTAGTGCTTCTGCACTTTCTTTTAGTATCCATGGTGAGATTCTATCAGACCCATCAGCCTTTGTCACATTCAGCTCCAACAGAATCCTTTTGACCTCAAATTCCTCCAAGATTGCTTGGTTTGCCACCTCCTCATTTAGTGCAAGGGCTTCTCCTTGTTCTATTGTGAAGACCTCCTGGAATCTCCTATTGAGTTCGTCACACATCTCCTTGTCATTCTCTGTGTATCTGTTCTCCCCTTTTCCTCGGCGGACAAAAGGGGATGCGCTGTTTTCCTCCTGATGAGGCTGTGTAGCAGTTTTGGTTGAGTCTTAGCTGTACTCCCGATGTCATTTTCATACTGTCTGCCTCTCTTCTCTCTCTCTAAGGTACTCATTCCTGGCCCTTTGGTATCTCTCCCTGTTCTCTGGTGTTTTGTTATTTCTGTAGTTTCTCCATGTTCTTGTACTCAATTGCTTCGCAACTTTACATTCCTGTTTGAACACTGGATTCTTCTGTTGCTTTTCATTTTTCTCCTTTTGGGCTGGGATAAACCTGTCTGCAGCTTCCTGGCACTTCTGGGTGACGTAGATCCTGTACATCATATCATGAACAGTCTTTTCTCTGAGTTCTGTTTCCCATGATATTCCCATTAGGAAGTTCCTCATCTCGTCATATTTTCATCTTCGGTAATTAAGCCTTTTCCCTTCCGATCCCTACCTCCACCAGATGCTCAAATGTCAAATATGCTGTGGTCACTTATTCCCATGGGGGCTTCAAATTTAACTTCCCTTATTTCTGAGTCGTTCAAGGTGAATATCAAGTCGAGTCTAGCTGGTTCGTCATTGCCTCTCATTCTTGTAGGTCCCTTGACACGTTGGTTCAGAAAATTCCTTGTTGTCACTTCCAAGAGTTTAGCTCGTCATGTATCTACACCTCCATGTGGTTCCCCATTCTCCCAGTCTATGTTTCCATGGTTGAAATCGACAATGATTAAGAGACTGGATCCATTTCTGCGGGCAACTGAAGCTATTATATTAATGGTTGCCATATTGTTCCTATCATACTCCTGTCTGGGGTCTTCAATCATTTAGTGAAGGGTTGTAAATGACTGCCACTATTATCGCAAGTCCACCCGTTGTCACAGTTCCTGTTATGTAGTCTCTGAATCCTTCACAACCCGGAATTTCCTTCTCTTCAAAACTCCAGTCCTTATCAGCAGGGCCACTCCTCCTCCTCCTCTCCCTTCCCTCTCTTTCCTTACTATATAGTAGCCCTTTGGAAACACTGTATTTGTTATGATGCCTGACAATTTTCTTTATGTGAATCCTATTACAACTGGGTTTTCTTCCTGCGCCCTTTCCGCTAGATCACAAACAATGTGTATTTGGGTGAATGCATATGGGTCATTGCACGCACTCTGTATAAGATTATGGAATGTGAATATGATGATGTCTTCTCGAGGCGCACCATATGAGGATATATACAGTGAGGAAGGTGTGACATTATAAGTCCAGTAATCCAGCAGGTGAGTTTCATCCGGCAGGTGTGGTCACCAGCAGTGAGGTCACCACTGAGTCGGACACGACGGCCGAGCCGGACCTGGTCTCATTCTGTGCCTCCCTCGGCAACTCTCGAGCCCTACGTGTTCCTGCACTCTTCAAGCCTGGTCAGTCTTCTGCTCCTGCCATACACATATTCTTCTCAATACTATTACAAAATAATTCATAAATTTTGAAGTAAAAGCAGGGTTGTTTCCTTTTTTCCTTAATAACAGCCATGAATATATTATTCACCATAGAATGAGTGTTTAAAAAAAATTAATTTATTTTGGACTATGAATTAGTCAGGCTAGGCATCCTATAAGGAGATTAAGAAGCAAATATTTGTCATCCAGACGGGGACTACCAGACGGTGGCAGACATGGTGGGCGGACGGTCCAGAACGGAATCTACCACCAGCCACGAGGAGAGCTCAGACGAGGCACGAGGAAAGTCCGCGTCCTACCGCCGGTGTCGCCAGGAGCCGCAGCCCAGACAGGGGCACCGACCCTCCCGCGGTGATCCGGATTACAGCTACGCTAGACCCGTCAAGAAGCAGGGGCCACCGCCCCCTCCACTATCATCTACCGAGAGTAACAGGTTCGTTAAGCTCCCCTTCTTCAGCCATGTGTCTCACCTCACTCATAGGCATTACCTATATCTTGTGCTTCACCCACAACTTATGTCTCGTTCAGACAATATACATGTCTCTTAGACCTTATGTTTCACTCAAAGCTTGTGCTTCATCTGGACATTATGTTTATCAAGGATCTTGTGTTTCACCACTCTCTGCTTCACCAACATCTTGTGCTTATTTCAATCATTTTCCTTGTACTCTGGGACCGTGTACTTTACTCGGAACTTTTGCTTTACCCAAACTTTATGATTCACCAAGACTTTGTACTTCCCCCGTCATTGTGCTTCACCTAGCCCCTCATGTTTCAATTGGACCTCGTGCTTCACCTGGATCTTGAGCTGCATCTCACACATGCAATATGCAATACAATTTGTATATTTTGTATACAAATATATGTTTTATATACATGTCTTCCCACAGATAAAAAATTTGTTGTTAAATTGCACGACATAACTAGTGAAGATTAAGAATGAAAAAAAAATAGATTCAAATAGAGATGTTCTATATCATGTCCGGGTGTGTATCATATAGAGATGTGTAACAGCTGTAGTAAAAATGAACAGAAACACAAGTAAATATCTGATAAGTTTGTAATGTGTGAACATGTACTCACCTAGTTGTGTACATGTGCACATTTTGTGAGTATACGGGAGAAAACAGAGTGGAAAGAGGGAAGGGAAAGAGTGATAGAAAACAGAGGAGGCAATGGAGTGGAAAATAATGAACAGGGAGGAATAGTAAGAAAAAGGCAGAGACAAAAGAAGGAAGTGAGAGAGGTGATTATGAGTTATGTTACAGTGCAGAGTACTGTGATGGGTGGCCCCGTGTTGAGAGCGAGGAGGCCTACAGTCGAAGACACACCCTGGAATTCTCTGAAGCAGAGTGTGACCATCCCTCCAGCAAGCAAGGTCAGTGCCTCGTGCCCCTTCATTAAAGTAGGATAATCTTGTATGATCTCTCCAAGTATAGTGAACCCCTGAAGCCTTCTTCCCCTTCAGGAAAGCAAGCTCATTCCTTCATGTCCCTAACCCACCAACAAAGTTCAGCCCATCCTCCTCGTAGTCCAACAATCGAGGTCAGCCTTTCACACTCAAGTAAGGTCAGTCCCTTATGCCCTCTTCTGTGACCAAGGTCAGTGACTCCCACCCCCCCCCCCCTAACAGTATTGCCAAGGTTAAACATGTTAATATTTGCAGACCTTAAAAATGAACATTGGTAAACTTCAATATGCTCACTACATCCAGATTTCATCACAACATCAGTAGCACCAAACAGATATCTTAATTACAGTATCTTCACAGCAATAAGATGCACTGCAATTAAAAAATAATTCACAGAAAACTAAACAATACAAATTTTCATATATATACATTTTATATTCATTATTAAACCATATAGTCACACAACGAATTGCTGAAACAATTTTTTTTACACAGGTTGAAAATTTTTTAATCTTGTTACAAGCTTAAGAGCTTTCCTTTCCCACAGGAATTCATTACAAGTCCAGTGACCCTTACCTTACTAGTTTTTCCTGGAATATGACCCACCAATTAGTTTACAACCAGGTCCCCAATTATTGCTGCGTGAACAGGAACAAAAGTATTAGTTTGCAGTTGACTCTTCCTGTCCAGGGCTTGAACCCGTCCAAAATTGCTCGTGAAGTGTGGGGAGAAAATATTACCATAGTAATTCCAGGCGGTTCCCATTTCCCATTGTCGAGGACAGGAAGCCTGTTAAGTTCATCAAGGTATTCCTACACTACCTACTGACCTTTCCCAGGATGCAACCCACAACAGTTGCATAACTCGTGGGTACCCATTTGCTGCCAGGTGATCAGAGGCATCTGTTGTAAGGAAATTTTCCCAAAATGTTTAAAACCCAAAACCCTTCAGTTATAATTTCATTTTGATGCACTTCAGCTAATTACTTATGTATACAGGAATCTGGGTAGAAAAAGTTAAAAATAAATGAAACCCATTTTCTCTGCAGGTATTGAACCACTAGAACAGCTCATGGTGGACCTGGAGATGGAGAAGATTGTACTGGACACCAACAAGACACCAAAGGTATACACCACCGCCCTTTGACAGCACCAGTAATCCCTAGTGACTGGCGAGTGGGATGATCAAATGGGAGTCTTGCGAGTGGAGAAAATCGTGTAACAGTTTGGCAAGTGGAGAAGTCAAGAAATACTTTAATGTGCAGAAGAATCCAGTGACAGTTTAGCAGGTGGGATGTTTAAATGACAACGACCTCGCTGGTGGCAATGCTGTGCATCAGTTGCCCTATAACCATAACACAAACATACAATAACTAAAATATTCACCCTAAAATCTGAAAAAGAACCATCACCTGGAAACTTTCTCATAAGGAAATGCAATTCCAGGAATATTTATATTTTAAGAGAACAGATGCTGCTATGACAGAACTATCATAGTTCTATTACAATTAAAGAACCATTTTTAGGGTCATGTGTTAGTCTCTCTTGTATTATTTTGTCAGCGCAAGTTATATATATATATATATATATATATATATATATGTCGTACCTAGTAGCCAGAACTCACTTCTCAGCCTACTATTCAAGGCCCGATTTGCCTAATAAGCCAAGTTTTCATGAATTAATATATTTACTATAATTTTTTTCTTATGAAATGATAAAGCAACCCTTTTCTCTATGTATGAGGTCAATTTTTTTTTATTGGACTTAAAATTAACGTAGATATATGACCGAACCTAACCAACCCTACCTAACCTAACCTAACCTATATTTATAGGTAAGGTTAGGTTAGGTAGCCAAAAAAAGCTAGGTTAGGTTAGGTTAGGTAGACGAAAAAACATTAATTCATGAAAACTTGGCTTATTACGCAAATCGGGCCTTGAATAGTAGGCTGAGAAGTGCGTTCTGGCTATTAGGTACGACATATATATATATATATATATATGTCGTACCTAATAGCCAGAACGCACTTCTCAGCCTACTATTCAAGGACCGATTTGCCTAATAAGCCAAGTTTTCATGAATTAATGTTTTTTCGTCTACCTAACCTACCTAACCTAACCTAACCTAGCTTTTTTTGGCTACCTAACCTAACCTTACCTATATATATAGGTTAGGTTAGGTTAGGTAGGGTTGGTTAGGTTCGGTCATATATCTACGTTAATTTTAACTCCAATAAAAAAAAATTGACCTCATACATATTGAAATGGGTAGCTTTATCAATTCATAAGAAAAAAATTAGAGAAAATATATTATTTCAGGAAAACTTGGCTTATTAGGCAAATTAGGCCTTGAATAGTAGGCCAAAAAGTGCGTTCTGGCTACTAGGTACGACATATATATATATATATATATATATATATATATATATATATATATATATATATATATATATATATATATATATATACATATATATATATATATATACATATATACATATATATATATATATATATATATACATATATATATATATGTCGTACCTAGTAGCCAGAACTCACTTTTTGAACTACTGTACTACTAAAGGCCCGATTTGCCTAATAAGCCAAGTTTTCCTGAATTAATATATTTTTTCTAATTTTTTTCTTATGAAATGATAAAGCTACCCATTTCATTATGTATGAAGTCAATTTTTTTTTATTGGAGTTAAAATTAACGTAGATATATGACCAAACCTAACCAACCCTACCTAACCAAACCTAACCTATCTTTATAGGTTAGGTTTGGTTAGGTAGCCGAAAAAGTTGGGTTAGGTTAGGTTAGGTAGGTTAGGTAGTCGAAAAACAATTATTCATGAAAACTTGGCTTATTAGGCAAATCGGGCCTTGCATAGTAGGCTGAGAAGTGCGTTCTGGCTACTAGGTACGACATATATATATATATATATACATATATATATATACATATATATACATATACATATATATATATATATACATATATATATATATATATATATATATATATATATATATATATATATATATATATACATATATATATATATATATACATATATATATACATATATATATATACATATATATATATATACATATTATATATATACATATATATATACATATATATATATATATATATATATATATATATATATATATATATATATATATATATATATATATATATATATATATATATATATATATATATATATATATATATATATATATATATATATATATATATATATATATATATATATATATATATATATATATATATATATGTCGTACCTAATAGCCAGAACGCACTTCTCAGCCTAGTATTCAAGGCCCGATTTGCCTAATAAGCCAAGTTTTCATGAATTAATGTTTTTTCGTCTACCTAACCTACCTAACCTAACCTAACCTAGCTTTTTTTGGCTACCTAACCTAACCTTACCTATAAATATAGGTTAGGTTAGGTTAGGTAGGGTTGGTTAGGTTCGGTCATATATCTACGTTAATTTTAACTCCAATAAAATAAAATTGACCTCATACATAGAGAAAAGGGTTGCTTTATCATTCCATAAGAAAAAAATTATAGTAAATATATTAATTCAGGAAAACTTGGCTTACTAGGCAAATCGGGCCTTGAATAGTAGGCTGAGAAGTGAGTTCTGGCTACTAGGTACGACATATATATATATATATATATATATATATATATATATATATATATATATATATATATATATATATATATATATATATATATATATATATATATATATATATATATATATATACATATATATATATATATACATATATATATATACATATATATATATACATATATATATATACATATATATATATATATATATATATATATATATATACATATATATATATATATACATATATATATATATACATATATATATATATATATATATATATATATATATGTCGTACCTAGTAGCCAGAACGCACTTCTCAGCCTACTATGCAAGGCCCAATTTGCCTAATAAGCCAAGTTTTCATGAATTAATTGTTTTTCGACTACCTAACCTACCTAACCTAACCTTCTTGGCTACCTAACCTAACCTAACCTATAAACATAGGTTAGGTTAGGTTAGGCAGGGTTGGTTAGGTTCGGTCATATATCTACGTTAATTTTAACTCCAATAAAAAAAATTGACCTCATACATAATGGAATGGGTAGATTTATCATTTCATAAGAAAAAAATTTGAGAAAATATATTAATTCATGAAAACTTGGCTTATTAGGCAAATCGGGCCTTGAATAGTAGGCAGAGAAGTGCGTTCTGGCTACTAGGTACGACATATATATATATATATATATATATATATATATAATATGTCGTACCTAGTAGCCAGAACTCACTTCTCAGCCTACTATTCAAGGCCCGATTTGCCTAATAAGCCAAGTTTTCCTGAATTAATATATTTACTATATTTTTTTTCTTATGAAATGATAAAGCTACCCTTTTCTCTATGTATGAGGTCAATTTTTTTTTATTGGAGTTAAAATTAACGTAGATATATGACCAAACCTAACCAACCCTACCTAACCTAACCTAACCTATCTTTATAGGTTAGGTTAGGTTAGGTAGCCGAAAACGTTAGGTTAGGTTAGGTTAGGTAGGTTAGGTAGTCGAAAAAACATTAATTCATAAAAACTAGGCTTATTAGGCAAATCGGGCCTTGCATAGTAGGCTGAGAAGTGCGTTTTGGCTATTAGGTACGACATATATATATATATATATATATATATATATATATATATATATATATATATATATATATATATATATATATATATATATATATGTCGTACCTAATAGCCAAAACGCACTTCTCAGCCTACTATGCAAGGCCCGATTTGCCTAATAAGCCTAGTTTTTATGAATTAATGTTTTTTCGACTACCTAACCTACCTAACCTAACCTAACCTAACGTTTTCGGCTACCTAACCTAACCTAACCTATAAAGATAGGTTAGGTTAGGTTAGGTAGGGTTGGTTAGGTTTGGTCATATATCTACGTTAATTTTAACTCCAATAAAAAAAAATTGACCTCATACATAATGAAATGGGTAGCTTTATCATTACATAAGAAAAAAAATAGAGAAAATATAATAATTCAGTAAAACTTGGCTTATTAGGCAAATCGGGCCATGCATAGTAGGCTGAGAAGTGCGTTCTGGCTACTAGGTACGACATATACATATATATATATATATATATATATATATATATATATATATATATACATATATATATACATATGTCGTACCTAATAGCCAGAACGCACTTCTCAGCCTACTATTCAAGGCCCGATTTGCCTAATAAGCCAAGTTTTCATGAATTAATGTTTTTTCTTCTACCTAACCTACCTAACCTAACGTAACCTAGCTTTTTTTGGCTACCTAACCTAACCTTACCTATAAATATAGGTTAGGTTAGGTTAGGTAGGGTTGGTTAGGTTCGGTCATATATCTACGCTAATTTTAACTCCAATAAAAAAAATTGTCCTCATACATAGAGAAAAGGGTTGCTTTATCATTTCATAAGAAAAAAATATAGTAAATATATTAATTCAGGAAAACTTGGCTTATTAGGCAAATCGGGCCTTGAATAGTAGGCTGAGAAGTGAGTTCTGGCTACTAGGTACGACACATATATATATATATATATATATATACATATATATATATATATATATATATATATATATATATATATACATATATATACATATATATATATATATATATATATATATATATATATATATATATATATATATATATATATATATATATATATATATATATATATATATATATATATATATATATATATATATGTCGTACCTAATAGCCAGAACTCACTTTTCAGCCTACTATGCAAGGCCCGATTTGTCTAATAAGCCAAGTTTTACTGAATTAATATATTTTCTCTAATTTTTTTCTTATGAAATGATAAAGCTACCCATTTCATTATGTATGAGGTCAAATTTTGTTTATTGGAGTTAAAATTAACGTAGATATATGACCGAACCTAACCAACCCTACCTAACCTAACCTAACCTATCTTTATAGGTTAGGTTAGGTTAGGTAGCCGAAAACGTTAGGTTAGGTTAGGTAGGTTAGGTAGTCGAAAAAACATTAATTCATTAAAACTAGGCTTATTAGGCAAATCGGGCCTTGCATAGTAGGCTGAGAAGTGAGTTCTGGCTACTAGGTACGACATATATATATATATATATATATATATATATATATATGTCGTACCTAGTAGCCAGAACGCACTTGTCAACCTACTATGCAAGGCCCGATTTGAATAATAAGCCAAGTTTCATGAATTAATTGTTTTTCGACTACCTAACCTAACCTAACCTAACCTTCTTGGCTACCTAACCTAACCTAACCTATAAAGATAGGTTAGGTTAGGTTAGGTAGGGTTGGTTAGGTTCGGTAATATATCTACGTTAATTTTAACTCCAATAAAAAAAAATTGACCTCATACATAATGAAATGGGTAGATTTATCATATTTCATAAGAAAAAAATTAGAGAAAATATATTAATTCATGAAAACTTGGCTTATTAGGCAAATCGGGCCTTGAATAGTAGGCAGAGAAGTGCGTTCTGGCTACTAGGTACGACATATATATATATATATATATATATATATATATATATAATATGTCGTACCTAGTAGCCAGAACTCACTTCTCAGCCTACTATTCAAGGCCCGATTTGCCTGAGAAGTGCGTTCTGGCTATTAGGTACGACATATATATATATATATATATATATATATATATATATATATATGTCGTACCTAGTAGCCAGAACTCAAGCCTACTATTTTCCTAATAAGCCAAGTTTTCCTGAATAATATATTTACTATAATTTTTTTCTTATGAAATGATAAAGCAACCCTTTTCTCTATGTATGAGGTCAATTTTTTTTTATTGGAGTTAAAATTAACGTAGATATATGACCGAACCTAACCAACCCTACCTAACCTAACCTAACCTATATTTATAGGTAAGGTTAGGTTAAGTAGCCAAAAAAAGCTAGGTTAGGTTAGGTTAGGTAGGTTAGGTAGACGAAAAAACATTAATTCATGAAAACTTGGCTTATTAGGCAAATCGGCCCTTGAATAGTAGGCTGAGAAGTGCGTTCTGGCTATTAGGTATGACATATATATATATATATATATATATATATATATATATATATATATATATATATATATGTATATATATATATATATATATATATATATATATATATATATATATATATATATATATATATATATATATATATATATATATATATATATATATATATATATATATATATATATATATATATATAGGGGGGTACCACCTCTGGTGCAATTATAGGGACCCACAGCCTCAGAGAAGGGAACACAGAGCATTCAGGGAAAAACTTGCCATGTAACTCTGAATACGTAAGAGTGTTCGCTTCTTCTACCACCCCCCTTTTTTTATGGTGTACACTTTATTATGCAAGGTTATACAGTTACATATCTGATTTTATACAAAAATTAACATTAAGAGAACACATATATATATATATATATATATATATATATATATATATATATATATATATATATATATATATATATATATATATATATATATATATGACTGAAAACTCACACCCCAGAAGTGACTCGAACCCATACTCCCAGGAGCAACGCAACTGGTAACTACAGGGCGCCTTAATCCGCTTGACCATCACGGCCGGACAAGAGGAAGTGATAGCCGAAGCTATTTGAACCACTTCCCCGCCGGCAACTCGGATGGTAATCTTGGGCATAGCATTTCACCAAATCACCTCATTCTTTGGGGCACACGTGAGGAACACGTGTGCCCCAACAAAGATAAAGAATGAGGTGATTTATTCCCTATAAAGAATGAGGTGATTTGGTGAAATGCTATGCCCAAGATTACCATCCGAGTTGCCGGCGGGGAAGTGGTTCAAATAGCTTCGGCTATCACTTCCTTTTGTCCGGCCGTGATGGTCAAGCAGATTAAGGCGCCCTGTAGTTACCAGTTGCGTTGCTCCTGGGAGTATGGGTTCGAGTCACTTCTGGGGTGTGAGTTTTCAGTCGCATATAGTCCTGGGGACCATTCAGGCTTGTTTGCATATATATATATATATATAATTTATTATTGTAATAATAATAAAATTTATATTTTAGTATTTATTTGCCAAGTAATTATAAGCTTGTAAAGTACTTTTGTTGATTGAAAATTTGCTGTTTGCTTAGATAATGTGTTTTGGTCCCAAAATGTGCCATTTGACAGAGGCTACTTGCCTGCAAAGTGCCAAAAACTATCTGATGCCAGAAACATTTCTTTCCTAGAACTGTTCAAAGTTCCATTTGGTGAGGATTTTTTCCGCTCTATATTAAATGTAAATAAAGCACTTTTCAAGAGGCCCACTGGTGGTGGTGGGGACTGTTCATCATATGACTTACTGCTCATGGGTACTGTATATCACTAGTGCTTGGACTTGTTCATCAAAGACCTATTGGTGCTAAGAACTGTTCATCGAAGGACTCATTAGTGTTGGGAACTGTTCATCAACGATCCATTGGTGCTGGGAGCTGATCATCAAAGGACTCAATTGAGTTGGGGGGTTGTTCATCTTAGGATCTACTGTTCTTAATATATCAAAGGACTCATTGGTGCTGGTAACTGTTCATCTTAGGTCCCATTATTGCTGGAAACTGTTAAATGAAGGGCCCCACTGTTGATAGAAGTTGTTTAATTAAAGGCCTTTTGTTAATGGGAATAAATGTTGTTAGGAAATTCTTATCAAAGGATTCTATATAATGATAACTGTACATCTAATGACCCATTGATAACAGAGAATAATCATCTAAGAACTCACAGTTCTTGTTGCAGTCTGTTCTTCAAAGGAACCATTACTGTTAAGAAATATTTAGGGAAGAAAGTAATATTACCGGGAACTTTGCTAAAAGAATCATTGTTGATTGACGCTTTTCAACAATTAATCGTTACTGATGGAAATTTCATCCAAACGTCATTGCTACTGGAAGCGGAGCGGAGCACATTGCGGAGACATTCTCTTAAAAACCACTGTAAACACTGATCAAGAAATTATTTCTGTTACACAGTACTGTAACTTATTAATAATGTGTTATGAATCTGACAGATCTAAAAATTTAATTCATTAGAAAATGAACATGTAACCTTCGATTAAAGTGTTTATACACCTTGCATTATATTAATTGTTAGCCTGATATGATGATAATCATACTCGGTTTGTTATTACAATTACTGAATGAACCTATCAGTCTTGTATTGTGCTAAAAAAAACTATCAGTATTGCTCCGTGAATTATTTTTGTAGTAACTAGATCGAAGGTGTGAGCTAGATACAATGTTCTGTCAACCCAGTGTGAAGTGCCAAGAATGATCTCCAGCAAAGTTCAGCTTGTAACATTTCAATCATTAACTCTAAATACTACTAAAGATGCTCATGTAATATCCGATGCTGTGAACCTTTTTTTGTGATCCTGCTTGTGTTTACATCCATGTTAATCATCCTGATTGTATGTTTGTGCGTGAAGTTGTCACCATTCGGTTTTGTTAAATCCATATCCTGAGAGGAAGAATGTAAGCAGTTTGACACAAAGTTTTTTTTTAATAAATCATGCACCAAATTTGTTATTGTGGTTTATTCCCTAATTTAACTAATTATGTTGTATAAATCATCATGTAGTATTAAAATACTGTAAAAATAGTATAAATCATCATGTAGCATCAAAATTAAATTATTATTTTTTTATTCAGGATAAGTACATACATAGATGAAGTTACAAACATAATGCAGGATTTATAGATAAGAGCTAGTACATATAATACCTAAAGCCACCAATACGCATAGCGTTTCGGACCAGGACCTAGATTCACGAAGCTCTATGCATTTCTTCGTAAGTATGCTACGAACGTTCCTAAGTATTGCCTAAGTTTTGGCCACTCAGAGAGAAGGTAACATTTTTCATCTTACAGCTGTAGCCAATCACGACGGCTACATATCGGAGCTCATCCATTGTCACTTGCCACCTATTTATGTCGAATTTTCTTATAAAATTAGCATATTTCGATGTAAACTATTTTTTTCAACTTCTCCAGTCAGCACTGACATTGTTGTAAACAAATATGTTATACTTTTTGTTTACCAACGTAATTCTAAGAGATTTTGTGTGGCTTTCCTTGTCGCTCCCAAGATTTGAGAAGCTATGATATTTATTTACATACATATTTACCGAAATTTACCCCAAGGGCCACCAACTATCTAGTAGCCTAGACGAGGACAGAAAGCCGGCGGCTTGTTAAAGGTCCCGCCAATTGTCCTAATGATATTTTCTAGCTGGATTTTGGCATTTACGGCTTCAGCAGGTAGCCGGTTCCATGGGTTTATAATCCTCTTGGTGAAAAAAAAAATACTTTTTCAGTCCAACTTAAGAGGACATACTCTCCAACGCTATATCTGTGACTGTCCTGTTATCAGTGACTTCAGACCAAATGGTATGAGGTACTTTATAATTAGAGTACCAATTAAATTATATGAGTACTGTAATTACGTCATACACTCAGGAATTATGAAGGATATTCTTGTGCTCTACCCAGATTTTGCTAGTGGAGGTTAATAAATCAGCCTCACATTTCTTGTTCTCTCATGATTCCATGTATGACTGGCCGTCCTGTGAGGTGGGGATGTTGGATGAGCTTGTAGCTGGTTTTTGATCTACACTGTGTGGTCCTCCATACAGAATACGGAAACACATTGCTGTGTATACCTAAGCTTGTTAAAAAAAAATACATTGTTTGAGAGGAGTCTTGTAGAAACTGGTAAGGGTAATTGCTTACCTCTTGTGAAAATCGGGAAGTTGTTGTTTAATCAGAGTTTATTCGTTTTTTGTATTGAGGCTGGTATTTTCTTCCCCGATTCCATGTATGATTAACCATCCTGTGAGACGGGAGTACAATATTAGATGAACTTATAGCTAGTTTTTTTATCTACACTGTGTAATTTTTCATATAGGATAGAGTAGCAGCACACTGCTGTGTATTCCTAAGCTTCTTAAAAAAAATCAGTAATAAAGATTTTAAATAATAGTTTGTATTATTACCAGTATTATCCTAATTAAATCATGTTAACCATGAATCATTAAGATCTCATGTTGATATATAATAATCATATTTCTTTTGAATCATTCATGAAATTATGCAGCATGTGTCAATTTTTCACGTCTTTGGATATATAGTAGAAAAAGAGTTTAAACAACCCATAAATATTTGTTTCATTATATTCTTTATTTAAATAACTATCATTATTTTTACAGATGACAGGATTTGTTTATTCACAGGTGCATTATCTGTTAAAAAAAAAAAGGTTTATTGTTACGCACAATGCTGCTACATAGCCTTCCCGGCTTGGTGCCTTCTTTTGATAATTACTTACTTATTGTAACACACAGCCAAATTGTGTAACAGAAAAAGGTCTTGGACACAAATTCGTTCCATGCTATATGTAGAGGACTCGGCTGAGCATTCCTCAAATAAAATAAGCTGCATCAGCTTATAAGGTAAACAAAATAAGCATTCCTCAAATAAGTAGCTGCCTCACCTCACTGCCTTACTGCTACATAGCCTTCCCGGCATGGTGCCTTCTTTTGATAATTATATGTTCTACCATGTTACCCCCTTTTTTATCTTTTTTTTTTTTCTTTCAATGCAATTTATACTTTAAGCTCAATTACTATTAAGTTTTAGTCTCAGTGTTTTTTTCCCCACCTCACCTTGCCCAAAACGCAATGCGTACTAGTGGCTTTAGGTATTGTATGTACTAGCTCTATCTATAAATCATTCAGAATGTTTGTAACTCTGCATCTATGTATGTACTTTTCCTAAATAAAATATTATTATTATTATCAATTACTTATTGTTACACACAGCAAAATTGTGAAACAGGAAGAGGTCTTGAACCCCCTGCTTCCCCCCTCTCTTTTTAACAGGCCACAATAGTCCATATAGTCATAAGTATAGGCCTAAGTATTCGATGACAAAAGTTTTTGAAGTTTTTACCCCTATCCTTACCTAACATCATTTGTAAAGCATATTTTTCTCTTATGTCTCACCCAGATTTAATTTCAAAATAAAACTAAACAAAATAATTTAAAAATGGGTATGTATAGCTAAGGTACACCCCTAGCTATACTTATTGCTAGGTGAACCGGGGCATTTGGTGATAGTAAATGTTCCCACCAGCCCGGGATCATCGATCACCTTCTCTCATATTTCATGTTCACCAGTGTTTATTTACTTAATAACTACTGGTATAATATCTTGCTATTATAAAACTAATTCTAATATCATAAAAGACATATTTACTACAAGTTTCAAGCAGAGAATTCATATATAGCTAACACAAAGGACTACTACTTGATGAGACTAGCTAGCTAAAATGTTTGTTTATAATAAAATCGATCCTACGTGTTAGGTATTAGAGAAAAATTGAGTTATAACCAGTTTGCGTAAAGCTACGAGTGGTCGAAAGCAACCTCAGCACGATGGAACATACTTACGAAGATTTTTGAAACTTAGATGCCTACCTGAATACCGGCATAGTCGCTACGAAGATGCTAAGAAGGAAAACGTTTGTAAGTATGTATGTAACTGCTTCGTGAATCTGGCCCAAGGTGTGGGGGGAAAAACACTTAGACTAAAACTTAAATTAATAGTAATTAGGACTAAAGTATAAATTGTGTTGAAAAAGGAATGAAAAAAAAAAAAGAAAAAAGGGGGGAACATGGCAGAAATCAGCAATTGTACAAGTTGATCAACAAACAGCATTGTTTAAAATACCAAGACATGGCTTGACAATTAGGGGGTAAGGTAGGTTACATGGAGTTAATTAGGTAGTACTTAGTTTCACTCTTAAACTGATTGAGAGAGGTACAATCTTTGACATAATTGGGGAGGTCATTCCACATTCTGGGTCCCTTGATTTGTAGAGCATTTCTAATTTGGTTAAGTCGCATTCTTGGAATATCAAATAGGTATTTGTTTCTGGTGTGATGCCCATGTGTTCTGTTACAACCTTCTAGGAAGCTTCTAAGGTCAGGATTGACATTGCAGTTCAGAATTTTAAATATATAGAGTACACATGAGAGGATGTGCAGTGACTTAATATCTAACTTATTCAAAGATTTGAGTAAGGGTACCAATTGCTGTCTGGAGCCAGAGTTAGATTTTGTTCTAATAGCAGCTTTGTGTTGAGTAATTAGAGGACGTAGATGATTTTGTGTAGTAGAACCCCAAGCCCAAGTACTATAATTGAGATAAGGATAGATGAGAGAGTAATAGAGTGTCACCAGGGCAGGGCGAGGTACATAATATCTGATCTTAGAAAGAATGCCAACAGTTTTAAAAACTTTTTTTATATATTTAGAATGTGTCCCTAGAAATTCAGCTTGTTATCGATGAGAACACCAAGGCATGTGCCATCTACTTTATTACTAACTAGCAGTACCCGGCCACGCATTGCTGTGGCTCAGCAATGTGTGCAAAATATACTGAGACACAGCAACCTTTCCTGTTCCTCAGTCCTCCCCCCCATTCCCCCCCCCTCACCCGTCTCCTCGGCCTCCCAACCATTCCCCACTCCACCATCCCCTCGTCCTCCCCACCATTCTCCATTCCCCCATCACCTCATCCCCACCATCCCAAACTCCCGTGTCCCCTCGTACTTCCCCACCATTACCCCCTCCCCTTGTCCCCTCGTCCTCCCCACCATCTCTCACTTCCATCCCCTCGTCATCCCACCATTCCCCACTCCCTTATCCGATGCCTTCCCAAATGGTCTGATGTTCCCATCAGAAAATTGGGAACATCAAGTGATCTGATGTTCCCATCACTGAAATATAATAAAATAAAAAATGAAATGAAAATATGAAAAAATAAAAAATAAAATATACTCACGAAATGACCGGTATGGTAAACAACACAGCTCAATTCCAACACAATTCACACAAAACAATTAAATCAAAATGAAAATAAATCAAAATCTATGAAAATTTAATTTATCAATGCAATCAGAAACACTGAAATGGAATTGTAACATATTTAGTACAGCATGTGTGTGTTGCTCTTAAATGCAACAGATAAGTGCTGTTTTTCAAGAAAAGCATTGTTTTACCTGTCACAGGTGTGGCTTCTATACGTATACTTATAAAATGAACAGTATGGTAAACAACACAGCTTAATTCCAACACAATGTCACACAAAATAATTCAATAAAAAATTAAATAAATCGAAAAGTATGAAAATAAAATTTATCAATGCAATCGGAAACATTGAAATGGAATTCGTGACATATTTAGTATAACGTGCATGTTGCTATTATGTGCAACAGATGGCGCTGTTTTTCAAAAACGCATGTTTTTACCTGTCACAGTGGTGGCATCTATATAGTAGGTACATAAAAAGACGCGCCTATTCGAATACAACGTTGTGTCAAAATTTCAAAGCAATCGGTGAAGAGTTTTCGGAGATTACAGCGTGTGTTGCTCTTACGTCCAACAGATGGTGCTGTCCTTATTTCTTTATAAAGAAAAATAATCTTAATAATAATTAACAAAAATAAGCTTATTTACGATCCTATAATAAATGTGAACCCAAGAATATAAAAATGGACTCAATTAATTCCAACAAATGATTAATATAAATCAAATTTCAACTATATTTAAATAAAACAGGGTTTAACAAAGAAACCTAGATTACCTAGGTTTGGTGACATTAAAGGGGTTAATTATTAAATTAATTAAACATGTTCACACACCGGGTTGGCACTGCTATATCAGGGCAGCTTTTCCAAGAATGCGTTCACCTTTTCAAACATTTCCAACACTTCCCTGATCTCAGTGGAAGAGGCAGCATCCTCCCTTACCTCCTCATTCCCTTACTAATCGTGTAAATTGTTGATGAGGACCTGCCATACTCCCTTGTGAGATCAGTCACACAGACACCACACTCATGCTTTGCTATAATTTCCTTCTTCAAATCCACAGTAATTGTCTTTCTTCTTCTTGACAACACTATCTTTAGCAAGCAGCTTCTTGGGCGACATCGTGCGTTACAAATTGTAGTCACAAAACCACTAAAAGCCCAAAGAAAAGTGCAAATAAATCCAGAGGGATGCTTGTCGTGTGCGATACAACAACACTGGCGTCGGAGGTGTCCGAGAATTTGCGAGAACCCGCGAGACGCTAGGAAGCACCATGTGGTTTTGCTCGTTAATAGAGGTGAAGCTCGTCAATAGAGACAAATTTGCTGCGAGTGGCTCGCTCGTTACTGGAAATGCTCGTAAATAGAGCCGCTCGTTAATCGAGGTGCCACTCTGTATGTATGTATGTGTGTGTGTGTGTGTGTGTGTGTGTATTAATATATATATATATATATATATATATATATATATATATATATATATATATATATATATATATATATATATATATATATATATATATATATTTTACACATACATACATATTGGGAGGGGGGGTAGACTGTGGTGTCCAGGATTGTCTATCCTCTCACCCCCCCCCCCCATTCCACCCTTCTTCCATCTGCCCCTTGACTCTCTTCAGTCCCCATCCCTCTTCATCCCTCCCTCTATTCCCTACTTCCCCTCTCTCTTTTTGAACAGGCCTTAATATTCAGTTATAGTCATAATTATAGGCCTAAGTATTCAATGACAAAAGTTTTTTTTACATTTTTACCCTTACCTAACATCATTTGTGCAGCATATCTTTCTTTCATGTCTCACCCAAGTTTAATTTAAAAATAAAACCAAACAAAACAAATTAAAGATGGGTATGTATAGCTAAGGTACACCTCTAGCTATACTTATTGCTAGGTGAACAGGGGTATTTGGTGATAGTAAATGCTTCCACCAGCCCAGGATCA